TTATTTTATTTTACCTTATTAATTAATTTATTTATTTTGCAGTACTAGGGATTGAACCCAGGGACCTTCTACCACTGAGTTGCATCCCCAGTCCTTTTGTTATATGGTCATTATTGGGGAAAAAATACACATATATAAGTATATATATAATATACACACAAGTATACATATACATAATACATATGTATATATAACATATTATATAAGTATATTTAAATATATGGCCATCACTAAAAATAAGTACATCTTCATTTACTAAAGTGTGCTTTATTAAGCAGGGTATTAATATTAAGCAAATGATAAATTACTTTGTTGCTAATAAGCCGTCAATAGGAATGAATGAGCCAAGTGAGGAAGAGTTCCCTGGCAATAAGATTGAAGGAACAAGAGCTGAAAAGAATAAATGCTGTGATGTGGAACATGCTTCAGGTGAAAATGCAGAATGCTACTTCCAGTGACACTCAAACTGATGCTTCAATTTTCTTCTTGCATAACCAATTAAAGTCTGGAACCCAGAAGAAGCCGAATATGTCCAAGAGTAATCCTTACTCTCAAACTATCACCTACCAAATCAATCTGTGGTAGAAAGCCCTGAATGTACTCTGCCTTTAGACCAACGTTAAAAGATGAAGAAAGGAGGGGATTAGATCAGTTGGTGATACTTTTTAATTCTTTGGCCACTTAGCCCTAGTTAACAGAGAGAGTGTTTACTTTAAATTATTTCCTTGCTATCCTTGTTTCTCTATTTCCCAGCCCCAAATTTCTTACAATTAACACAATTTACTTATGCAGCTAGAAAAATATATCTTAGAATATTAATAAAATTCATAACTTCATAGTATGATGAAAATGGTCTTTGAGACTACTGCCTACCCTCCATTTAATCCAGGGGTTTATCTTTGGCCCTATTGAAATTCTTTTATATATGTGATTTTTTTTTTCTTTTCTGTGCTGTACCACTGAGCCACATCTCCATTCTGGTCCTACTGGTATTTTCATCAATTAAACAACAACAACAACAAAAATCTAGCACTAAGTAGGTAATTAGCAGACAATTAACTGTTATTTTTATTATATGCCAAGCTGTGTATAAAGGCTAGAGCCACAAGAATTAACGGATCTAATCCCTGTCTGTGAGGAACTCATGGTCTAGCAAGGGAAAAAGATCTATTAACAGATCCTATTGCAATATTATATATGCTTGAAAGAAGTAACAAAGCCTACAACATTTAACTTTTGAAACAGAGTGTTTTCCACTTTCAAGGACAATCTTAGTAAAAGGCAAAAGCATTACTTAAAACTCTGAAAACAGCCAGGTGTGGTGGTGCACTCCTGTAATCCCAGCTACTTAGGAGGCTGAGACAGGAGGAATGCAAGTTCAAGTCCAGCCTCAGCAATTTAGCTCAAAATAAAAAGTAAAGGGGCTGGGGTTGTGGCTCAGTGGCAGAGCACTTGCCTCGCACATGTGAGGCACTGGGTTCGATCCTCAGCACCACATAAAAATGAATAAACAAAATAAAGATATTGCATCCATCTATAAACTAAAAAATATTTTTAAAAATAAATAAAAATAAAAAATAAAAGTAAAAAGGGCTGGGGATGTGGCTTAGTGGCAAAGTACCCTGGGTTAAATCGCCAGTACAACAGAACAAACAACAACAACAACAACAAAAAAATACTTCGAAAACAATTTTAGGGTGCTATTATTCCTTCTCAATCAACTGCAGAATTCAATTATGGAATTCAATGTATAAGCTAACTTATGTTTCTAAACAATGTCACAGGATTTTGTTGCTGTTTTGTTTTATGTTGCATTTTGTGGTGCTGGGGATTAAACCCAGCTTTTTGCAACCATGAGCTACATTTCTAGCTAATTTTTAGCAGTTTTAAAAGTGTTTTCTACACTGGGCAGAGTGGCATACCCCTATATTCCCAGCTATTGGGGAGGCTGAGGCAGGAGAATGGGAATTCAAGGCCAGACTGGAGGATGGAAGGGATGAGAGTGTAGCTCAATGATAGAGTGGTCCTGGATTCAATCCCAGTAGCTAAGTTTTAAAAAAAATGAATAAAAGTGCTTTTTATATACATCATCATAACAATACAAAGAGGTAAGCAAGGCAAATAGTTCTCATTTTACAGAAAAGTACACTAAGGCTTGTTCTAATTACTAGTAAATTCAGAATCTGATTCAGGTGGTTTAATTCTTTATCATAATGCTTTTGTAGTACACATAAAGTAGTAGACATTAGAGCTTCCAGTTATACCAGTCCAGGTGCATATACTTTATATACACAGAATACTCAATGTTTCAATACTGGAATGGCCATATATCTGGATAACAAAAAATATTAGGTATTTGCAGTTAAGGAACAGAGAATAAGCACAAATGTGAGCAATTTGCAGAGACAAGTGAATGCTATCATCAGTGTCCAAGACAAAAATTGAAGGAATTAAGAGAAGACTATTGGGCTGGGTTGTGGCTCAGTGGTAGAGTGCTTGCCTGGCACTGGGTTCGATTCTCAGCACCACATAAAAATAAATAAATGAAGTATAAAAATTTTTTTAAACGAGGAGAATATGTCTGTCCATCTCTCTTTTTGGTACTGGAGACTGAACCCAGGGATACTTTACCACTGAGCTACATTCCCTGACACTTTTTATTTTTTTATTTCAAGACAGGGTCTCACTAAATTGGTGAGGATCTCATTAAATTGTTGAGGTTGGTCTCGAACCAATCCACCTGCCTCAAACTATGTCTCTTATTTGCCAGAGACTTAACATCTTGATTTATAAAGAATGTTGTAGTAATTATTTCCTGTTCTAATCTTGATTCAATGGTATTATTTGGAATACATATTCAATACAAGTGTATTAAGCTAACATACAGGAACTTAATACAGTTCTGGGGAACCATCACACCAGCAAAACAGATTTTTGAGTTTGCAGATGTTTAATAAGATTCCTATGAAATGTTGTTAGATTTTTGAGCATCAAATACTGTCCACACATTTGCAAATAATAAATGGAAATTTTTTATAAAAGGATATTGAAATGACTTAATATTCAGGGAGAAAATATGTTATAAGTATTTCCAACAGTGAGAATTTAAGGTCTAGCTTATCCTGAATTTGATAATTGCTGTGATGTTCTAGCATGCATAATTAATATGCATTTCTTTCTCTTTTTTAAAAAAAATTTTGTAGTTGTGTATAGACAGAATGCCTTTATTTTATTTATTTTTATGTGGTGCTGAGGATCAAACCCAGTGCCTCACATGGGCTAGGCAAGTGCTCTACACTGAGCCACAACCTCAGCCCAAATGACCTTTATTTTATTTTAAATATTTATTTTTTAGTTATAGGTGGACACAATATCTTTATCTTATTTTTATGTGGTGAGGGATCGAACCCTGTGCCTCATGCATGGTAGATGAGCGCTGGTAGATTAAGACCCCAGCCCTGGTCTTAATTTTAATTTAGAAGAAATACATGTTAGGGCTAGAGCTGGAGCTCAGTGGCAGAGCACTTGCCTAGCATTTGTGAGGCTCTGGGTTCGATCCTTAGCACCACATAAAAATAAAAAAATAAAATAGAGGCATTGTGTCCATCTATAACTAAAAAATATATATAATTAAGATCATTCATAATGACAGCTTAGATGGCTTTTTAAGCATCTAGGTTTTGGTTTTGATTTGGGGTTTTTAGTTAAGGACACCTTTTGTAAATTAGTAAACACAACTGCAGTCTATATTGCGGATCCCCAGAATTGGACTATTATTACCATTGAAAATGCTTCTAAGGCAACAACTTGAACAGTAAAAGTTGGTCCTTGATTCCAATGGTTAAAAGCACAGTAGTAATTATGTCATCCTACAATTTAACCAGTTAAACCAAATAAGCAATATCATGACATTTAGCCATCAACTCTTTACATTGTGAAGTCCTAAAATTTACCATTACACTGAAATTTCAAGCAATTTTAACCCTGTGTTACACCTATCCCTAAAGGAAAGTTAAAAGCAATTAAAATAATCCAATTTCACTACATATTATACATTATGCTTGAAATGCAATGTAGTCATATTATTACACAATGTTGAAGAGGCAAAGATGTGGCCTGTTTTCTGGGCAATAGGTGGACTACCTACCTAGGATCCTTAAAGCAAGATACTCTTCCAAAATACCCAATCTTTGTTTTCTTTAAACAACACTATCGTATCATAAACCAAAATGATTTTGTCTTTAGAAAATCCACGTGTCATTCTGAGATGCAAGGTGGTGCTTAAAAAAAAAAAAAAAAAAAAAAAAACAGGTGCAAGGTTTGGATCCCTGGAGACCAGGACACTCCATATCCCTGTCCTATTCAGCCCCCGCTCTAATTGTGACCTTGGGAAATATCCCAGGATCTGGGACTCGGTTTCTCTTTTTAATTATGAGGGCTAAATTATAAATGAGTGGGGATGGGACCAGCCCTCAGGCACCGTAGACAACCGGGTTGAATCTCGCTCCAGGTACACGCTGATCCTCGGCCTTGCTTGTGGACCCAGCTCTCCCCAAGCGCTCAGCCATCGGCTTGCTGGTAGCATTGTTCCCGGTTCCCCGCCATGGGTACCCCAGGATTTGCACGGCGCTTCCCTCTTTGTGCCTTGCTGCCATGAAGGGACCTTGTGATAGTCCTCCCATCAGCTAAGAAACGATCCATCTACCCTTTATTTTCATCTTGATCTTTCTCCCCTCAGAGAACCCCTGACACCGCTACACTCCAAAGACCCCCGCCGGGGCTCTGCCACGAGACCCCCCTCCTTCCCTCCCTTCAGGAGAACTTCCCTTTACACCGCCTTCGCCATCGAAGGAGCCTTCTAGTCTCACAGCCCCGTTCTTCCTCAAACTCTCACGGATTTCCATCCGGCTGCCTTTTGCGGAGCTCCAAAGGAGCCTCAGCTCTCTTCAGAAATAAAGCCTCCCCCACCTCCGCCATCAGGTTCTGGGGACCCCTCTCACCTCCACGGTGAGAGATGTGTTTACTGAGGAATCGCTGCTTCTTTCTCTGGTGCAGCAAAGTCGGGTATTTAAGCAACAAGAATGAGGTCACCAAGTACCCTCCTAGGGTGGAGAGAAGGTAAAAAGCCGCGGTGGACGACATCTCAGTCACCGTGTGGGAAGTCACCCACCTCCAGGGCCTCTGAACTCCGCTGCTGCGGTCGCGACGGCTGCGGCGGCTGCTCGAGGTCTGCTCGCCCCCTGCTGGTGCCAAGGGTGTAGCGCAGTTGTTCGTGTCAGCCCACCACGCAGGCGCAGCCCGACCCTATCGTCGGGGCAACAAAGGGACTCCCACACGCAGGCGCGCTCCGGCTGCTAGGTACCAAAGGGCCTGCGAAGGTCCTTAGACCAGCGTCAAGCACCTAGCAGGTGGCGCAACGCGCAGAGATTTGAAGACGCTTCCTACTGAGGCAAAAAGTTGGAAACCTGCCAGCTTCTTTTTTTGGCCTTAGCTGGAGCTAAAAAGGTTGTTCAAAGGGGATCCTCAGGAAACTGACGTATTTGGAAAATCTACATCAAAAGGGAAAGATTCCAGGGCGCCGTCTTAGCCCCTCCTCAAGGAAATGCAATGAATTGCTATCGATTCCTTGTGGGTACTCAAGAAATACTTGTTGATCTGCAAATTCTTTTAAAATAACGAAATTTAGGGCGGAGGATATAGCTCAATGGTAGAGCGCAGCTAGCACAAAGCCCTGGGTTCAAGACCCAGAATCCCCCCAAAATAAAACTTTGGCAAGGTTTTATCACTTCCTAGAAAGGCTGGAATTAAATTCCACAAGGCTCCTACTAGTTTCCTTTACATTCTACACATTCCAAACTACTAAAACACGAATAGCAACATTTCAATGCAAAACAGTTCAAAGCCCAGGGTTTTGTTGTTTTATTTTTTACTTTTCAAGCTCCTGGGGTCAAGCAGTCCTCCTGTAGCTGGGACTATGGGCAAGCGCCACTGAACCCAGATACTCCTGTCTTGTTTGTTTTGGTACCAGGAAATGAACCCAGGGGCCCTTAACCTCTGAGCCACTCTGAGCCACATCCCCAGGCCTTTTTATTTTAATTTTTTAATTTTGAGACACGGTCTCGCCAAGTTGCTTAGGGCCTGGTAAAGTTACTGAGGCTGGCTTTGAATTTGCGATACTCCTGCCTCAACCTCCCAATCCGTCCTACATATTTTCATATATATTATATAGAAATACACACACACACACACACACACACATATATACATATATAAATAATAACAGCTTTAAAAGTAGCAAGATGTGTTAAATACTATTATTTTATACATGTTGAAACTAAAATCGACAATTCTATTGGTCCTGCATTTCAAAATCAACGTGTCTAGGAAAAGATAATTACACTAAAGTTTTGGTAGTCTTTCATATAGTTATTGGTAACATGTCACCAATTAGATGGTGATGTGATGGTAAATCACCATTTGATGCTGGTAAAAGTTACCATGCACTGATGAGATTTGTATCACTTAGCCAATTGTTTCACTGTATAGGAATTTTAGAAGAATATCATGCAATAATATCTTGGATTAAAGTGTTAATTAAATCTTGTGAAGTAGCTCAAGTCTATAATCCCAGTCACCATGGAGGCTGAAACAAAAGGATGCGACCTGTCTCCAAAAGTGGGAAGAGGGGAGGGCAGCTGGGGATGTAGTTCAGTGGTAAAGATCCCCTGGGTTCACGTCCCAGTACCCCCACCCCCCAAAATTAAAAGTTTAGTTAGATAACATTAATTTGAAATATGGTATATGGGAGAGGGGAGGCTGGAGATGAGGCTCAATAGTACAGGTTCAGCTTCCTAGCTTGCAGGTCTTGTGTTCCATCACCCAAATCAGAAAGAAAGGGGGGGGGGGGAGGGAAATCTTATCAGTCTAAGAATGAAATAATAAGAACAAAAACATCTAATAAGGTATTAGAATTATGAGACAAACAAATGTGTTGTTTTTGCAATCAGTCTTCATATTATGGATCACCTAACTTTATTATTTATTTATTTATTTGCAGCACTGGGGATCAAACCCAGGGCCTCCTGCATGCCAGGAAAATGATCTACAATTCAGCCACATCCCCAGTTCCCCAGTCCTTATTTTGGAAATAATTTCTGGAATTTTTTTTTTTCCTGGAGCAGTGTCTTAAGGATAATCCTGGTTAAAATATAATTTTAGCAAAAATAGTTTTGGCTCAACATGGTTATGCAATATTCAGTTATGATAGAAATATGTATTATCATGGACAGTGAAACAGAAACAAGAGAAAACAGAGGTATCAACATGTATTTTATGGCTTTTTTCTAGAACATCAAATTTTTATTAGCAAGAATAACCCCATTTAAAATAAATATCAACAAAATAACGAAACAGTAGAACAATTATTGTCCAAATACTGAACTCCTATAACCAAAACAGTTTGGGTTTTGGAAACAGTGTACACATACTTAAAAAAGAATCCCCCACATAGTAAAAACAAAACCAGCTTAAGTTTAGGACTGAACTGGCTGGAAAATTCTTATTGTGTCACTGCTTTAAGAACCCCACGGAGCACCTTATAGCTCATTAACTGCACATTTTCCTTAGGAGGGAAACAAGGTCCTCTCTCAGTCACATATGCATAAGGAAATCTCAAAACCCAAAGGCCATCTGGTGGGAGGGTGATTTCTTGTTTTTCTGGATAAAATACTGGACATGGTGGTGGACCTGGTTGAACCTGAAAAACATAATATAATTATTTTTTGTTTCTCAAGAAACACCAAAAAAGATAAGTATTTCCAAAAAATGATAGGTTCAAAGAGCATGTAAGAGGCAGATGTAGATGCATATGCAGATGTAATCGCAGTCATGCAGAAGTTTGGGTCAGGGTAGCAAATTTGAGTCCAGTTTCAGTAACCTAGTGAGACCATGCCTCAAAATCAAAGTTTCAGCCTGGTGTAGTGGCACATGCCTGTAATCCCAGCAGCTTGGGAGGCTAAGACAGAAGGATACCAAGTTCAAAGCCAGCCTCAATAAAAGTGAGGTGCTAAGCAACTCAGTGAGACCCCTGTCTCTAATAAAATATAAAATAAAGCTGGGGATATGGCTCAGTGGGTTGGGTGTCCCTGAGTACATTCCCCAGCACTGCCCTCCCCCAACACACATACACAAAAAGTTGAGAAACAAAGAAGTGTCATCCCTGTCCTCTCTGAGGGCCTACTCACTCCCTTGAGGGTGCCCCCACCGATTACTTTCTTCTTTCTTTCTAATAAACTTAGACGTACTTTTTAAGTCTTATATTTTGCTTGAAATCCCCTAATGCAAGAGCACAACAGGGAGAATACACTTCAATCTCTGGTAAAATCTTATTGCTCTCCATTATCACATATAAGATTAGGCAGAAAGGAACTGGGATTAGTGGTAGAGTACATGCTTAGCATGTGCAAGGCCCTGGGTTTAGCTCCGAGCACACACACCTAATAAATAAATAAAAAGAGATTAAGCAGATATGAGTACACACCTAATTCATATTTAATATTACATTATTTATTCTCAAATATTATCCTGATATTTCTACTGAGTTTTTAACTTCAAGCTCTATTTTTGAACCAAATTATGTGAACTAATGGAATAAACTAATTGAAATACCTAGCATTTTCCAGTTACCATAAGAATCGATAAAATAAAATGCCACAATTTCTATTTTTAATTTTTTTTCTTTTTAAAAGAAAAGGTTTCATTATGTTGTCCTGGCTGGCTCCAAACTCTTAGGTTCAGGTGATTCTCTTGCCTCAGCCTCCCTAGTAGGTACAGGCATGATCCATTCTGCTGGGCTCCCACAATTTCTCGTTTAAGAAACAGAATATCAGGGCTGGAATTGTGGCTCAGTGGTAGAGTGCTTGCCTAGCACATGTAAGGCCCTGGGTTTAATCCTCAGCACCACATAAAAATAAATTAGGACTGGGGCTGTGGCTCAGCAGCAGCACACTTGCCTGGCATGGGTGAGGCACTGGGTTTGATTCTCAGCACCACAAATAAATAAATAAAATAAATATATAAAGGTCTATCAACAATTTAAAAATATATATATTTTAAAAAATTAACTAAATAAAGGTATTGTGTCCATTACAACTAAAAATTAAAAAATAAAAAAGAAACAGAATATTAAGCCAAGCAAGGTGGCACATGCCTGTAACCCCAATAACTCAGGAGGCTAAGGCAGGAGGATCACAAGTTCAAGGCCAGCCTCAGCAACTTAGCAACATCCTAAGCAACTTAGGAAGATCCTGTCTCAAAATAAAAACTAAAATGGACTGGGGATATAGCTTAGTTGTAAAGCTCCCCTGGGTTCAATCCCAGTATTAAAAAAAAAAAAAAAGGTAAAAAAGGTACTTATATTTAAAATATTTGTTTAATGAAATAATTTTGATATTATATAGTATTTTAAAAAAATAATCAAAACAAGCATCAATATATATATATATATTTTTTTTTTTTTTTGAGGGCAGGGAGGGTTGCACTTCTTACCTGAGGCATTAGTATTATCTGCAAAGGAGCATCAGGAACCACAACAAAAAGCCTCATAAGTTGAGCATAATGTGGTTTTAGCCCTCTACCCTGAGATGATGACAGAATATATAAGGGCATATCACTATTTAGGGCTTTTAAAGCTGACTCCTTTGGCCCACTACCCATCACTTTCATTATTTTGTCAGGTCCCGAGCACATGAATCTTCGACCTCGAGAGTCTTCATATTCAAAGCCCACAAAAGCTCGAGCTATGTCATCTCGGCGCCTTCCTCTTCCCATTACAACTGCACTTCTCTTTCCAGGAATAGCTTTATTTGGAGCAGGCCAAGAATTTGTGTCTAAGTCGCCTTCATCTTCAGCTCTAGTCCTGATGACAATATCCCAAGGCATAAGATAGTTTGTTCCTGGAATGAAGCCCTGTTGATCCAAACCTGTATGAAAGTTATAAGACTTAGCAGGGCCCAGTTTAACCAAAGACCAGCTGGAGAATTTGGGTAGGAGACCTTTTGGGCAATTTGAATGTAGCATGCCTGGGAGATACTCAACTGTGGATGCCTGTCGATCTACCAAGTTTGGTCTCTTCTCAGATTTTACTTCTCCTTGCCCATGAACTTCCGGATTGTCTCCTCCTGCTTGGGGATCAGCTGGATAGGTACCTAAACTATCTGTGGATTGGCCCAAACTCAAAGC